CTGGATTCGAACCCGCCACCTTGGGTGTACGTGGCTGGTGCCTTAGCCACTTGAGCCACAGGCGCCGAGCCAGACATATTTTCATAAACCTATTTGCTACTTTTATGTATTTGGAGAAATATCTACTCAGTACTTTGCACATTTTAAGTTATGTTTACTTACTAGGTTTTTTGTTTTTATTTTGTTATTTGTTATTTTATTTTTGTTATTTGTTATTTGTTTATTTGAGAAAGGATCTCAAATTTTTAATAATGTAATATTTTAATTAAATTCATAAGATAAATTTTCTTCCAATTTTTGAGTTGCTCTGTTATGTGGCTTTTTGTTTCTTTTTTTTTGAGACTGTCTCACTATGTTGCTCTTGATAGAGGGCCGTGTCATGGCATCACAGCTCACAGTAACCTCAAACTCTTGGGCTTAAGCAATCTCTTGCCTAAGCCTCCCAAGTAGTTGGGACCTCAGGCACCCACCACAATACCTAGGTATTTTTTTTGTTGCAGTTTGGCCAGGGCGGGTTGGAACCTGCCACCCTCGGTATGTGGGGCCTGTGCCCTACTCACTGAGCCACAGGCACTGCCCTAGCTTTCTAATAGTTTTAAATCAAGAAATGTGAAGACTCAGTCCAGCTTTGTTTTCTCTCAAGATTTTCTTAGCTATTTGCGGTCATGTGTTTTCATGAAAAAGCTTTTGTCTACTACTTCTTTAAAAAATGCCACTGGAGGCCAGGCACAGTGGTTCACGCCTGTAATCCCAGCACAGGGAAGCCCAGGTGGGTGGACTGCCTGAGTTCACAGGTTAGAGAACAGCCTGAGCCAGAGGTAGACCCTGCTTCTACAAAAAAATTGAAAATTTAGCTGGGGCTGGGTGTGGTGGCTCACGTCTGCAATCCTAGCACTCTGGGAGGCCCAGGCAGGTGGATTGCCTCACAGGTTCGAGACCAGCCTAAGCAAGATCTAGACTCCATCTCTAAAGATAGCTGGGTGGGGGCAGTGCCTGTAGCTCAGTAGGTAGGGCGCTGGCCACATAACATGTGGCTGGTGGGTTTGAACTTGGCCTGGGCCTGCTAAACAGTGACAGTGCAACAACAAAGAGTAGCCGGGCATTGTGGTGGGTGCCTATGGTCCCAGCTACTCAGGAGGCTGAGGCAAGAGAATCACTTAAGCCCAAGAGTTTAAGGTTGCTGTGAGCTGTGATGCCATGGCACTATACTGAGCCACTATAGTGAGATTCTATCTCAAGGAAAAAAAAAAAAAGCTAGGTGGCTCTGCCCCAATAGCTCAGTGAGTAGGGGGTCAGCCACATACACTGAAGCTGGTGGGGACCTGTAGTCCTAGGTACTTGGAAGAGT